TCGCCGGGTGCGTGCGCTCAGCTGATATTTTTAAATCTGGGACGAGCCTTTGTGACGTCCGCCTCCCGCCGGCCTCGTTTGGAGGCTCGGGTCGCTCGGCCCTTTCTCGCCTTATTGTCACCGCGCCCCCGGGCTCGCCGAGGCAGATCCCATAATAGTTTCCTGGAAATGTTGCGTTATGTAACTGCAGGATTTGCTGGCAGCGGCGCGGCGAGAGGGAGCTCGTTACGCGAGGCTATAATCTCGCTACAAAGAAAGTAGGACAGCCTCCGCCTTTGGGAAGGCCACTGTAACGGCGTGGCTTTTCCCCTTCTTTTTCTTTCCTTAAAGATATTTTAAAGCGGCGCGTAGACGCCTGGGTAAGCCTCGCGGGTGCCTCTGCTGCCGATGTGTGCTTGCCCTAATGAAATGCGCGTCCTGCTAAATTTAGCCCTGTCACACTCTAACCATTGTGGCCTCGCCGTGCTATTTCTGGTGTCTTCTCCAGGGCTGTGTGCAAATACGAGTCCAAGGCCACTTGCTGCAGTTTCAGCCCCACGCCCGGGAGACCTCTGATAAGATCGTATTTTTAGGAAGGCATTTCGCGGCGCCCGGCGATTCGCTGGACGCGGAGCCCCAGGTCTCTCTTCAGGGGACACTGTAGGGAACTGCCGTCCCCCGAGAGCAGCGGGACGCCTCCCGCTCTCCTCCAGAGTGTCCCCTGAGAGCAGAGTGACGCCTGCAGCTCTCGGCTTTTGTAAATAACAGCAGAATGAGGTCGGAAGTGCTTGTTTCACATGGCGTTTGTTCCCCGACCAGACATGCCTTGTGGCGAGCAGGTACAGGTTAGTAGATGGCGTCTTGGCCCGGATGCCCTGGTCTCACTCCTGCGAGGAGCGGGGACTGCGAGTGGCCCAGATGTCATTTCCTCCTGGACCGGCGCGCAGCGGCCGTGAATACGTGCCTGGCGGTGTGTCGAGGAGCGGGCTTTTTCCTCCTCAAGTGCAGGGCTGTTCGGGGGAAAGGGGCGTGGGGCCCCCCGCGGA